AGCCTAGGCACTGTCCCTGTGCTCTTCAGCTCTACCACTTTGAGCCACAGCACCACTTCTAGTTTTCTGATGGTTAATTGGAGATAAGAGTCTCCCAGACTTTCCTGGGCTGGCTTTTGAACTGCGATCTCAGCTTCTGAGTAGAAAGGATTACAGGGATGAGCCATCAATGCCCGACCTAGCATTGTATTTTTAAACTCTCTTTTTAAAATGTACTGTATGGGAGAAAGAGGAACCCTATTACACTGCTGGTGGGAATGTACACTTATACAACCACTTTGGAAAGCAGTCTGGAGGGTCCTTAGAAAGCAGTCATACCACTTCTAGGCATCTACCCTGAACAACAGGAACCAATATACAAGGACATGTGCACCTCCATGTTTATTGCAGCACTGTTCACAATAGCTAGGATATGGAAGCCCCACCACAGATGAATGGATCCAAAAATCGTGGTATTTATACACAATGGAATATTATGCAGCCATTAGAAATGACAAAATAATGGCATTTGCAGGGAAATGGATGGAGTTAGAAGGAATCATGTTGAGCGAGGTAAGCCAAGAGCAAAGAGACAAAAGGTACATGGTCTCCCTGATAAATGGATGCTAAATCCAAAATGTTAGATATACGACAAAACTAACAGGACTTAAGAAACAAAGAACTCCCACTCATCTGGTCGAACCACTACTAAATATCCCCATGCTGCTGATCACATGTATGGTGTATAACATGTGAACAGCGTTATATGTTATAGACTGTGATAGACAATTTGCTCCAGGAAAGTTAGAATGAACTTGTGACTTTAAATGAGCATCATTATTCCACAATACTGTGAAATTCGGGAAATTATGTAATCACTTAATCACAATAAAAAAAAAAAAAAAGAACCTCAGGGAAGGTAGGGAGGGAAGGGATGGTAGGGGGAAAGCAATGGAGGGGGTAACAATGTTCAATAGGAAGTGTACTCATTGCCTTACTCATGTAACTATAACCCTCTGTATAGTATCTTTACAATAAAAAAATAAAAAATTAAAAAATTAAAAAAATAAAATGTACTGTATGTTCCGAGTGCTCTGCAAACACACAACCACATCTTTTTCTAATCTTGCCTTTACATTTGCTTGCTTTCTGCAATTCATGATACTTCTGTATTCCTACCATTTTTTTTGTATTCTATCATTTTCTGCTTGATCCTGCAAATTAGCTTTGACCCATCACTATTCTGTGAAGTTACTTTTGGGAGGACAGCCTTGTTTTTGTGGTGTGTGTTTCTCATTCTCCTGGTCTTGGACTTGGACACCTTTGAGACTCCAGAGTATTTCCTGCTTTTCCATATGTGATGTCTTTGTCTTGTCAAACCACACTCCATGTTTCTGGCTCTGTTTGTTCCTCTCCCTCTCTTTAGTCATCTCTTATTCTACCACTGTGGTATATAGACATCCAGCCCAGTTTGGTGAGGATTGTCTGACACTTACTCACAAAGGTTCCCTGTCTGTGGAAACCCCTCAGGCCTGGGCAACCAAGAATCATCCTAAATTCAGCTTTCCAGTGTTAGAATTCTCCAGATTCCTGTCCTGAGTTCTCATCTCTCTCTTTCTGCAGAATTTCTGGAGACTGCAGAGGCTTCAAATATTTACAGTGGTTTGCTGCTGAACAATGCTAGGACCAAGTCAGGAATGCTTTAAAGAACCCCAGTTAGTAAGACAAGGGCCTAGACCTAGGCTCATATCTAAACTCTATTAGTGACTGTTATGAGAGGTCTAGCATGGGCATGTCACCTCTCCAAATTAGAATTGATCAATTTGTGAATGTGACACTCCACTGAGGGTTGTCACAATAATGAAAACAAAATATGTAGAAGTTCTCAGTTCAGTGCTGGTACAAAGCAGTTAACAAGAAACATAAAGGTATTTTTGACAATAAAACAAAGATTTATTTTACATTATCTAAGTCCCTGAAAAAGTTTCACCATCAAAGAGATTAACAATAGTTGTTTCATTATTTGGATCCCTATTAGTCAAACTCAACTGTTCAGAAAGTTGAAAACCCCAATTTCTAACTCCTAATTAGCCATTAAGACAATAAAAGTTACATGCATAGGAAAGTGCTGAAGAGGCTGGTAGAGAATCCAGACAGAAAGAAGGCTTTTCTCTTTCTTTTTGCTGTTCTGAGATAGGGTCTCTCTATAGACCCCAGGCTGGCCTGGAACTCTTAATCCCCTTGTCTTGGCTTCTCAAATGCTGGGATTTCATGCATATACCACCACACAGCTAGAAATAAGGCTTATAAAGCTATTTTTATTTATTTTTTTGGTGCCCTGCTTGCATATTCATTTTTTTTAACCCCAAGTCATCTGAGAGACATAAAAATGTATCAACCAAAAGAATGGTTGAAAATAGCAAAAGTTTCTCTTCTCAGGAGGAAGAAGAGACTCACATGTAGGCCTAATGTTGGGCACTGGTGGCTCACACCTGTAATTCTAACTACTTGGAGGCTGAGATCTAAGGATTGTGGTTAGAAGCCAGCCTGGGCAGAAAGGTCTATGAAACTCTTATCTCCAGTTAACTAGTAAGAAAGCTGGAAGTGGAGCTGTGGCTCAAGAAGTAGAGCACTAGTCATGCATGAAATAGTTTAAGGGAGGAGAGCACCCAGGCTCTGAGTTCAAGCCCCAGTACCAGCACAAAAGAAAAAGGAAAAAGCAAAAGAGAAGAAAAGAAGTAATCCTGTATTCAAGCCCTGGAACCCAGCATTTCTTCAACTGTTCTCTTTGTTCTAACAAGGTGGAAGTACATTGTTATTTATGGATTTAAATTTAAGCCAAATAATGCCAAGTTAAAAAAAAACAATTTTCTCATATCCTCTTTATGACTCAAATGTTTTCTTATCCAATCCTGACTGTGTGTATGCAACCATTCAGCATTCATTCATTACATAGGACCTATTTCTGTGGACATAGAGCTCCAGGTGCACCAGAATTCTCTGGTCAGAGGCAGCCTTTCCTTCCTCCCTTCTCTCCCTCCTTTCCTCCCTCTTCCCCTCCCTCCTTTCCTCCTTCTTCCCCTCCCTCCATCACTCCCTCCTCCCTCCCTTCTTCCTTCCCTCCCTCTCTCTCTTCCCTCCCTCCTTCTTTCCTTCCTTCCTCCCTCTCTCCTTCCCTTTCTCTTTCCCTCCCCCTCCCTCCTCCCTCCTTCCCTGTTTGTGTTTGTATGTTTTTCTGTGCAAATAGTGGGGCTTGAAATCAGGGTCTGTTAAAGGCTGAAATGCTACCACTTTGAGCCACAGCTCCATTTCAGGCTTTTGGTATTTAATTGGAGATAAAAGTCTGGTTTTTAATTGGAGATAAAAGTCTCACAGACTTTCCTGCCTGAGCTGGCTTTGAATCACAATCTTAAAATAGCAACCTCTATTGAATTCTCCCCATTTATATCTTTTATTAATTTTGAAACAGTTGAATCTACAGTGAAAGTAATATTTAGACTTCTGATAAGATAGTCACAGTTTTGGAGCTCCCCACAGATCACCAGAATTACTGATTTATGCTCTTAAGAATTCTTGGCCTCAATAAATAAGTGGGCGAAAGACTTAAAGAGAAACTTCTCTGAAGTAGAAAGAAGGATGGCCAATAGACACATGAAGAAATGTTCAACATCCCTAACCATAAAAGAAATGCAAATCAAAACAACATTGAGATATCACCTCACCCCAGAAAGAA